AAAACGAACTAGTTTTTACAATAATAGAAAATAAAATTGAAAGTAAGAGAGACCATGAACATATGGAAACTAATTTTCAAGCAAATTATTTCCGATACTGGACTATCAAGCAATACAGAATTGAAGAGATTAGCTGGAAACAGGTGAAACAGTGGAGAGCACTTATTTGACTGTGAAACCAACTATAGGGATGAATACAAGGAGAGACAGTTTGATAATTCGAGGGGATATAATAACATTTTAGTGTCATTTACTTATTCACCTAGATTCATCATTTTTTTTTTTTTTTTGCAAAAGCTATAAAACTCAAAGAAATTTTCTTATTATAAAATTTGGTTCTACTACAATATCGACCATCTTTATATAAACTGATCCACTTAATACATATCTTTCACCTAGAATCGTTTTTTTAAGAGCAATAATATATCGATTATAATTAGAAACCAGATTTTTATATTTTTACATATTTTTACGGAGTTTAAAATTCCTATGGAATAAACTTTCTGGACGATTAATTTTCCTATCAACATATACAATAATTTGTAGAACATAAAAACATATTTCAAGGTTAAAGAATATATTGTGCAAAATAATGTTTTAAGAATATATTGAGATTTAATTTGAACATTTTATAAAAAAAATGTGATGGTTTATAAAAACTACAAAAATGTTTTTAATTTCCGTCAGTCACTCCTTTTCAAGACAAAATGTGCAAAGTAATATTAATAAGAACATACCACTGATAAAAAAATAAATTATCCTATGATTGGAGATGAGATATAAAAAGAAAAACTTCACTGATATCTATAAACCCAGGGCCAGCAATAGAATGGAGCAGGGAGAGCTAGAGTCCCGGGGCCAATCGTCTTTGCCTTTTACACAATATTTTTATTGTACTAAAATATATTCAAATATTGTGTATATCAGGGGGCCTGGAACCGATCAGCCTTGGGGCCCTTAAAATTTCCTGCCGGCCCTGCATAAACCTTATATCAGAAATTAAGATAAATCTTAATTCGCGCCTTATTAGACTGGTTTTTTGTACATGTAGAACGGACATAAGATAAAGGGCGCTCTTCATGTGACTGCTCGATTATTATTATTATCGTAATATCGTAGTGTATTATTATTGCTCCAATATGGGTAAAGGTGAGACATGTAAGTGCTCGTTCAATTGTACTATTCAGTACTATTTTTTGGTACACAGGTAGTTTTTATTTTTATTATTTAAAATTTGTTATTTATAATATTTTTAAATAAATCTGAATTTCATTTCAGATTCTATGTGACTATGTGCTACAATCTCACATGTTAAATATAAAAATCAATATATACCAATACATCATCATAAGGTCATAGGGTGTCGGGTTATATGTTCGAAAATTATGTTCAAATGAAAAGTGTTCAAAAAAATCATATGTTCAAATTAATTCTTTTTCAAAAACTTTGTAATTATTATTTTGATATTATAGATATTAACATATCTATTATCTATAATATATTAATAGTCACATATTCCGACTATTATACCGTTAACCAAGGAAAAACGGTTAAACGTGTATTTAACAATAATATAGTATAATAGTATCGTATAGTAACCATTATATCCACCAGAATTATGGTCAGTAGTTCAACGAGTTGATTATGAATTGCCATGCATTACTAATATCACTGAATCTTGACATACCTAGTCATTTAATATATATATTAATAGGTAATTTTGAAATTGATAGTATATAAAAATTTTATATTTTATAATATAATATTGTACTAGGTTGATATCGAATCATCCAGGTGCTTATAAATTCATAACACTTATTCAAAAAATACAGAACGAGAACGAAAGCTTAATTGAACAATTTATTCAAGGCAGAATTGCAAAAAAAATAACATAGAGTTTTTAAGAGGTATTGCGTAAAATTTAAACATTTAATAATTTTTTACTATATAAATAATAAAAGAAATATATAATTTAATATATGTTTTTTTATCAATGAGTTTAATAATTTAACTAAAACTTATTCAAACAAAAATTCATTCGAACATATTTTTTATCGAACAAATCATTTTCGAACACATAACCCCTCGTCCACTATAGTAAGGGCGGTACTCCTTTTGCCTAAAAATGACATTCCTCTTTTTGCCCACGTCCTCTTTTCAACCAAATTCGATAAAATAATTTCCTCTTTTCGCCTAAAAGTTTTAGTATTCTTTTCGTCCATAGTTTTACATTTAATATTTTGGGAAGCACTGCCTCAAAATAGACGTGTACAACAATCGTTGTGCATATCACATTTGATTAATTTTACAACGAATACATGTGAATCATTTCATTCTTTCTTTACAAAATGTTTTATTGTAATTCTCCACCAATCGGTGCATGGTTGTCTGAAATACAAGAAGTCCAAACTGATGTTTATATTAAATTAAATAGTATACATTTATAATATTTTCCTAAACAAAGAAAAGTAAAAGAATGTCAATTAAAAAATTAAAAAATAATCCAACAGTATTAAATAGGAAAGTTAAGTTGGTTTGAGTTTTTAAATCTTAAAGCATTCAACTATACAAAACATTTTAACTAAACACATTATAAATATATTTCTAGCAAATACCTAACCTATGTATATAATAAATATTTTAATTTGCACAAAACAATATATTTTTTAACGGAGTCACAATGACTAATGACAAATATTTATTTATCTTTACTTTATAACAATTATTTAAATGTGCACAGAAACAATACATTTTTAGAGAGCAATAGAAGCCGCCTCCTCATTTTCAAACAGTACTTCCCAAAATATTAAACATGAAACTGTGGGCGAAAAGAATGCTAACACTTTTAGGCGAAAAGAGGACATGGGTGAAAAGATGAAAGTCATTTTTGGGCAAAAGAGTTCCGCCCCAAAGTAAAAATTAAATATGACAGTTTAAATTTTTTTTTTTTTAAGAGTTAGGATTAATTTGATGATATTATAATTTCTTTAATAAAGGAAAAATGTATAATTTTTATAAACTGTTATGTTTATTTTTTTTTTTTCGGTATTTATTATATTTTTATGAAAATTCTATTTTTCCAAAAAAGAATATTTATGTATATAAAAAATTATTTTGATGAAATTATAAAGCATAAGAACATCTTATTTTTAAGATTGTAAGTGTATTTCGGTCTTTAGTTATAAGTTCATCTCATCCAACCATGTAGTTTCATCCGACTTATGAGTTTCCCCTTTCTTTATCAACATTATGTATCTATATCTATGTCTGTATGCATAGGCGGCACTTAGGGATGATTCTAGGGGGAACAAAAAATTAATTACCATAACTCACAAAAATGGACTTTCATAACCCAATTCTCCCAAAATAAAATTTCAACCTTGATTTAATTTTTTTTTTTTAGTGCATTTTTACCAATTTTGACTTCAGTAAAATAATTTTTTGACTTAATTTACTAAAATAAAGTATAATTATTTTAAAATATAACCTAAAATATTAGGAGATATTTCAAACTATTACTAACGTTTACCGCGTTTATTTATCTATACTTACTATTTAACCGATATCCTCTAATCGGTGACTGGCGTTGTAGATAGTGCTAGTTAAGAAATTACTAATTATGTTTTCTAGATAAATTAATTTTGGTAACAATTATTATCATTTTATCAATATTCGATTATTCAATTAACATGAGTATAATTCTAATATTCTCAGCTTCAAATTTAATTTGAAATTCCAAAAACTATTTTCTTGTTATACATCAGAAATTAAAATTCCAAAGGGAATATCATTAATTATTTTAAATTAAATTCAACTTTTCGGCGTTCATCAATAAAACATTGAAATAATAGGTTTTTTTGTTAACTTTTTTTTTGGGGGGGGGGGGAAGTATACATTTACCACCCCAAAAAATGTTTGGGGGCAACTGCCCCGTTATGACCCCTCCCCCAAGTGCTACCTATGTCTTTATGACACTGCCATAATATTAATATCAAATGTTTTTTATAAATTTTAATATTGAAATATTGTTATAAGATTTATCATCTTTTTTATTTTTTATCATTTTGCTTTTAAAATTTAACAAAATAAAATACCTATTTTTTGTTTGTTTTTATGATATTATGATTCTCGCTTGAAAAACATCACTTGATTTTGCTATAACTTAACGCCAATACTCTCAAAACATATTAACACGATTTCAGACAACTTTATTCGTAGAACAAATAAAAATCTATATAAAGTTGTCGTACTTTCTACAATTTAATTTTAATTATTTAAAATCTTATCCTCCTTCCTTTATAGATTATACGAATTAAATTTGTTTTTCAATTGTAATTTAATTGTAACGCTACACAATCATAGTAGGAAAAGGTAAACGAATGAAACAAAATGAAAATAAATTACTTAATAAAAGTTAAGGAATTGTTTTTTTGAATAACCACAAATCGAGTCAATAAAAATAATATATCGACCTGGGTTTATAAATCAAGTTAGAATACCATAATTAGGTCTTTAATTCAATGATGTATAAATTCTTATCAAATATTAATTAGTATTTTTTATTATTATTCATATTCATATTATATTTTACTTCTTTTAGATTCTGAGTGAAATGTGTTTTGCCCTTTTTTTTAATGTTACAATTTGTTTCAATATCTAGGATGTAATCTTTTATTAAAATTCAAGTATATATAAATTACATTTTCAATGTATATATATATTTTCATATATATATATATATATATATATATATAAATAAATAAATAAATATATGATAGATATTAATATACTTCTTATCAATTATTAAAAATATTTTGTGTTGAATTTTTAAATCGGTAAACCAACGAGTTTCAAATTCATAGAATACTAGTACAGATGAAAAATAAATTTTTACTTTTTATTATTATATTTTATATTGAAAAAATTATATTATTTTACATATTTTACAGCACTTCTCATGAAGCGAGAATTAATAATCTGTTCATTGTACTTAATTTCAGGATTGACATTAAGACCGTTACATCTCAGCAGTGAATCCATTACATTAATTTCATATCCTGGTGAACTTTTCCTAAGGACTCTAAAATTAATGGTGTTACCATTTATCATATCATGTTTAATTATTGGTAAGCATATATCCTTTGCATATATTCAAAATTTTAATTGACTACTGATTTCGTCAAAGTCAATAGCAAAAATATTGTATGTAAAGAATACTACCTATTATACTATATATATAATATATATATAATATATACTACCTATACGTATAGTATACGAGATAGAGTAATTCATTTAAGTGACTACACTCATTTTTTCAGTAATTTTTTGTCTGACCTTTTTATATATTTGAGTTACTTATAAGATTATAATATTATTGCTAAAAAATCAATATTTCACAATTTTTAACTTTATTGAATTTACTATTTTTTTTTTTTTTTTTTTTTTTTTTTTTT